TCTTTCTATATATAGAACTTACTAAAAAGCAAAATATTTACTATATAAAATATAGTATTTAATAAAATAAAGTTTTATAATAGAAATCTAATATATATAATAGAAGAGTTCTATTATATAAACCTTAAAGTAATCTAAAAATATATTATTTAGCTTATTAAGGTATCTTATAGTACTCCTATAAAATAGGAAGCTAATAAAGAAGTAGATAAGATCTTTAATTATATTAAAACTACTATAAGAGAAGAGATTAACTAAGAATAGCTAGAGAAAATAGCGCTATATATAAATATATAGTTTAAGCTTTAGCTAATACTACTTCTCTCTCTAAAACTAATAAGCCTATTTATAATACTTAGTAAAACTTTTTAAGAAGTTTCTAATATAAAGAGGTAAGAAATAAGCTTATTAGTAATAAAAATAACCTTTAGAACCTTATTTAAAGCTATATTCTTAGTAAGAAGTAATCTATATAAAAATCCTTATACTCTCTAAAGACTAAATAGCTTAAGTAGTTTATATATATAGCTTAGCTAGCTTTATATAGCTATAAGAGAAGATTAATTTATAGATATAATAAAAAAGTTATAAAATAAGAAAGTAAAAATTAAAAGCTTAAAAGTTTCTAAAAAGAGCTTAAAGAAGTATAAAATACCTTCTAGAAGCTCCCTTTTATTAAGAGTAACTTAGTCTATATACTTATACTTTATAGGTACTTATTAATAAAAGTTACTTCCCCTCTTAATATTATATTAGTAACTCTTAAGTTAAGAAGAATAACTAAACTATAAGAAGAAATATAATCTCTTAAAGTTTAACTATTACTTTTTAGTAGAAGGTTTCCTATAAATAGAGAAATCTTACTTATAAAGTTATAAGAAGTCTAAATTATAAAAAGAAATTATAAGAAATACTTTAAGAGATTAATAAGTCCTTAGATATTACTAAGTATATACCTATAAGCTTAATAAGTATAGTAGACTTATAAAGCTAAAAGCTTATTTAGTAATTTAAAGAGATTAATAAATAAAAGATACTTAAGATACTTATATTATAACTTTTATAAGAATATTATTTTAAACTTTAATAGCTATAATAAACTACTTTAACTTAAAGTTTCTTTAGTATAATATAATAAATATATTTATATATATTAAGCTTAATAAGATAGTATATATAAAGTTCCTACTTAGCTATAAGAAGCTTAAAAAAGTACTTAAGCTTAAAAAAGCTTTATATAGACTTTATTAATCTCCTCTCTTATAGTAGTATTATTTTAAAAAAAGATTAAAAGAGTTAAACTTCTTATAAGTAATAAGAGAGGATTACTACTAAAAAAAAAGTTAAATATACTTTTTTTTCTATATAGATAACTATATATTTACTTACTTAATAGCTTCTTAAAAAGAAGCTAAAAAAGTAGTTAAAGAACTTTAGAAGAGATACTACTTTAAAAGTAGTAAAAGCTTATAATAGTTTCTTAGTATTAAAGTTCTCTATAATTAAAAAATAAAGAAACTTTAGCTTTTATAATTAGTTTATATAGAAAAGGTAAAAAGACTCCTTTTACTAGAATACTCTCTAAAGATATAAGATAGAACCCTTATAGAGTATATTAAACTACTTCTATATAAAGAAAAAGCTTTAAATAGTAAAGTTAATCTCTATTAGAGAAAAATAGAAACTATCCTATATATAGTAATAATAATAAGACTAAATCTTATATTTATAATAAGTTATTTAGCTTATTTTAATTAGAATCCTAAACTAAAATATTAGTAAGCTATAGATTAAGCTTTATAGTATCTCTATAAGATATATTACTTATATATTAAGTATAAAGTTAAGGCTAAAAGCTTATATAATACTCTTAAAGTAGCCTCTAATATAAGTTTTAGTAATAATACCTTAGATTAAAAAAGCTCTTAGGGATTTATAATAAAGCTCTTTAGAAATATTATTATATAGAAAGTAAGTAAATAAATAACTATAATAACTTTAACTATAGAAGTAAAGCTTCTCTTACTTTTATTTATAGCTTAAGAAGTAATATTTATAAACTACTTTATAATATTTCTCTAAGTATAACTCTTTAGAGAGATAAAATAGGAAGTATCATTTTAACTTATAAAAAGTACTCTTATAATAATATAAATCTAATATAATAACTAATAGATAGTTAGGCTAATTACTAAAGAGCTTATCTATCTTTAAATAAGGTTATACTATATTAATATCTATAACTACTAGCTTTATTAAGAGATTTATAAGAAGTATATATTAGTAGTATATACTCCTTCTATATAACTAATAGTAGATAGTCTTATAAAGTCCCTCTTATAGTAAGCCTTTAAAAACTTCTAGGTATAACTAGGAATAGCTAATTAAGAAGAAACCTTTAAAAGAAATTATATTTCTAAGCTTAAAAGAGATAAAAAGAGCTAGAAGAAAAAAATAAAAAAAGAAAATATTTAGGATAACTTTATATAATAAATATAGAAAGTTATAAAGATAAAGAGTAGAGAATATAAAAGAACTTTTATTTAAAGTAGAAAACTACTAAAGAGACTAAATATCTATAAATTTATAGCTTAAAAGTAGAACTATTTTAAACTAAAGCCCCTAAGATACTAAGAAACTATAAAATAAAAATATTTAAATACTTTTAAAAATAGGAATAAAAAAAATAGCTTTATAAGAAATAACTAAGAAGATAACTAACTTAAAAGTGTTAAGCTAGTTATAAAACTCCTTAAAGTTAATATAACTAGACTTAGAAGTATAAAAGAGAGTATAATTAAAGTTATAATAAGTAGCTATAATAGTACTCTAAGTATAACTTAAAGTAAAGTAAAAACTAGAGAAAACGCTTAAAAAAGTAAGAGAAGTATAAACTAAAATCTCTAAATAAAGAGGAAATAAGCTAGAAAGAAGTATAATAATAGGAAGTATAAAAGCTAGAATAGAGTAGTAAATATATAAAGTATACTTAAGAGAAGTAATACCTTACTTCTTAGTAGTTTTATAAACTATAATAACTTTATAAGTAGTATCCTAAAAGTCCTCTTAGGTAATACTAATTCTCTATAAAAAATTAATAACTATATAGAAACACTTAATGAAGGATAATTTATACTTTAGCTAAGATAAACTTATTACTCTTAGTATACTTCTTTATCTTATAAAGCTTATAATAGAAAGTAATAATCTCTTTAATACTTATAAAGTAGTTACTACTCTTTATATAGTAATAGTAATAAATATTCTTACTAAAGAAGTAGTAGCTAAAGTATAAATAGCCTCTATTAAAAGAAAAAGAGTAGTTAAAATAAAGCTTATCCTCTAACTTAAAGGAGAAGTTTATAGAATTAAAGAAGTTATTAGTACTTATAATAACCTCACTCTCTTCTTTTTCTTCTTCTTTATTAGTAATAATAGTAGTAATAATCTCTATATTAGTATAAATAGCTTAAAAAGTAGCTTTTTCTTTTTTTTATTTCTTTTTTTTAATAGTAATATATTTAGTGAGATATTTAGTAATATAATCCTTCTTCTTCTACTTAGTAAGAGAAAAAGTAAAAACTTTAGCTTCTTTAATCTCCTTTTTCTCCTTAGCCTCTTTCTTAGCTTAATACTAAATATTAGAGGGGTAGCTATACTTCTTCTTAATAGAGGTCTCCTTAACCTAGCTATTATTAAAGTCCTCTTCTTTAATAAGCTAAGTAATAAAGCACTTAATATAACTAAAAAGGTAAATAAGTAAAGTAAAAATAGGAGCTATAAAAAGAGGATTAATAATAAAAAATATTTATAAAAAGAGTGTAAACTAATAACTAAAACTAATAAGAGAAGCTAGCTTATCCTCTTTAGAGTTATTAGAAAAGCTAAAAAAGAGGTAAGCTAAATAATAATACTTAGAGGTCTTAAGTATATATATATAGCTAGTATAAGAAGTAGTAAAATAAGTTTTATATTTAATATTAAAAGTATTATAAGAAGATATTATAAAGTATTTAATCTATTTAAAATAAATATTAGTATAGTAGTAAAAAGGTAATATAAAGATAATATATAATTTATAAAATCTTAAAAGCTAAAGAAAAAAGAGAAAAAAAATAATAAGAAGTATAAGTAGTAAAAAATTATTTACTTACCTTCTTACTATTAAAGAGAGCTAAAGTAGTTAGTAAAACTATAACTAATTAGAAGCTTTAAGCTAGTTAAGTAAAGTAGAAGATACTTTATTCTACTACTTTAACTATTTATAGTAAGAAAAGCTATTATTTTATAATTTATAAAACTATTAAAACTATAATAATAGGAAGTAATTAAAGCTATTTAGAAACGCTTAATTAAGCTATAGGGATAACTATATAATTATACTAATTATCCCTAAAAGGGCGTGTTAAATTATAGAGGTTAAAATAGTACTTCTTAGTTACTAGGAAGTAGCTTAGATAAATAGATAATCCGCTTAATAAGAGCGATAGGCCTTATGAAAACCACGCGCAGAGTTTTTGCCTATACCTAGGGATATATAGTTAATACATATCTAAGTCAATTTATTAGCTCTTACCGAAACCCCTATAAATGCGGGATTTTTAGGTTTCAGCCATACTACCACCCTAAACGTTAATTAATATCGTTATTTTTGTTGTTTTTGATTAGTTTACTAGTAATTAATGCTATTCATATTAATTTATTTATATCTTAATGTTATTTATAGCTCTAGGAACTATATAAAGCGTAATATATATATTTAGGGGTAAGATCTTATTATATATAATAGCGTTAGTTTATAGGTCCTTATAAACTTAAGATTTATTATATATATTATAAAATCTAATGTAGTATAAAGGTATAATATATATATATACTAATATAATATATAATTAACTATATAATAGCTATAAAGAAGTTATTCCCTCTTTTATTAGCCCTTAGAGGGATTAAGCTAAAGTCTATAATACTTTAATATATTTAATTAAACCTAAAATATATTACTTTTAAGGAATTAGGTTAGTTTTAGTTATTAATACCTATAAAGTTATCTATAAAGTTAATAACTATTAGAAATAGATATAAAAGTATATCTTTATATAATAAGAGTTCTATAAACTTATTATTAGTAAAAGTAAATATAAACTTATATAGCTATACTTAAAGAGGTAATAGTATTTATAAGCTAATTAGAACTTAAGTTTATATATTTTTAGGTAGACTATATATAGTTTTTATAAATTAAGCTTTAAATACCCCCCTAATTAAGATATTAAATAATATAGATAATATTAATATAGAAGATAATATAGATTAAGAAGAAGAGGTTAATAATAAAACTAAAGAAAAAGAAGTATTTATTTAGTATAAAATAATTAATATAATAAACTTAGAAAACTTTAAAGATATTAGATCTATAGAGGAAGAAGAAATTAAACTATACTAAGAGAGGCTTACTTTTAATACTACTAATAAACTCTTTAATTTTAAAGAACCTATCTTATTACTTAAGATTTACTAGTTTGAGATTCCTATTCGACTTAAGGTTACGTTTCCTCCTAGCTCTGGGTTGAAGTTTAGCCCTAACGTCTATACCTATATATTTGAGACTTACGATCTTGCTGTTGAGCTTATGATGTGGTTCGACTGTGATATTATGGAACAACTACTAAAGAAGTTCGATCGTGAAGTGCTCTAGATCTCGAGCATACGTGCTATGTGGTGTCCACGCAAAGCCATAGTCCCTACACGTGCATGAGCATAGGCATCGTGTTAGGTATACAAATGAGGCTGTACTTACCCTCCAGGCAATATGACGATGCCGCGTCGATGCATCTCTCGAAGCCCAGCAACCGCAGTGTCAAGCTCTCTCACATATCCCGCCTTTTCAGAAGCTTCCTGCGTATATCTAAACGCTTCGGCTTTATATGCAGTGGCCACGAGCTAGTTGATCGCTGGTGTAATGATACTCGTATGTCTCTTCTCCTCTAGCATTTCTATACCTATATGTATTCAGTATTGTTAGGCTTGTGGCAGACAGCTAAGCAAAAGTTCTGAAGTTCTACTTTTGTCGTTAACATAGGATGCATGGAATATGACGTCTACTCTATGACTGACGCACATCTTTACTGAGTTGCGAGCTTGGGCATGTGCGCATACTCTCTTGCCATGGCGATGAGCTTCCTCGACGCACGCAGCCGTTTCTGCAGCGGTGAAGTAGCAATCTTCTGCCGCGCGGTTGCCTGTTATCTCTTCGCCTGACATGCTGATTTTGACGTTATCAACCCCAATGCACTGGATATTTGAGCGAACAACCTGTTGCATCTCTGCGTTTTATCAGCCTAATTCTTTTGGCGTGAAAATTGACGACGACATACCCTCGGGGCCCTCGGCAAATCTGGTAATGGAGGCTACCAGATCGCCTTCTGGTTTCGCGATTTCTCTTGCATTGGCTAGGTATCGGGGACCTGGAATGTCTCCAGAGTTTATGGCATCTCGGATAACAACATCAAGTCGGTCCTTTGCTGCGGCAGCTCCAAAACACCTATAACTCAGGATGAGACCCATCTGAATCAAGCACCAAGGGAATGCGTACATCGTGTATCCCGAGTCAAGAAAGCATTTGGCACTTTTGATTGTCAAAAGTACATGCTCCTCTACTGGCAAGTCTCCTAGGCGGGCCAAGTCGCCCCCGTTCCAGGTCAAATGTGCATGAGCGTCACCCAACCCTGACATCAGCGTCCTTCCTTGCCCGTGGAACACCGTCACGCAAGGGTCTGATTTGAGCTCTTCCTTTCCGGGAACGGTTCCGACATGTGTTATTCTCTCGTCTTGCAATACCATTAGCAAGCAAGAATGTATCTTTCCCAGGCTAATTTGCTCACCTTCGATTAGAACATCGCCTGGGTATGGTTGACGACCAGTCGATTCCAATATCTGGACCTCCGTGAAAAGGATCTTCGAGCCTTTGTTACTTCCTTGGATATGATAGTCCCTTGGTTGTAGCTTTGGGTCCAACTTGAGGTTGTCGATGTATGCCACATTTCTTGGAACGGCCTGGGAATTCTTTGTTGGCCCCCACGCAGTATAACGACCTTGCGGCCATGAAACATGGCTTGAAGTTGCCATGGTCTGGGCCGATAATAGTCTATGGTAGTCAGTCCGGCGCTCAACAGTCTACTCGTTCGAACGATGCAACCGACCACTTTCAAGCCAGCACACAAATACACTCGCCGTTAGAGCCTTGGGTCATCTACAGGAGTGATTCTTCACCTTTGCTGAGGCTTCGGTTGTCAATGAATTTTGTTGGAACCGTTGTTGCTCCCCTGATATCCCCGCAGTTCATGTCTCACATACCCCGCGTGGTTGAACATGAGCTCAGACAGCCGCTCTAATCGACCGCCCAATCAAGATCGCATGCCAACAACTGCCGAGATGTAAGCAGCGCGGAAGCAGCGCAAATGTAACGGCTTGTCAAATTCCAAAGTTGACTGGTGGAAGATTCCTTTTTAATATTTTGCAGGACACCCACCCGTGATAGACACAGTCTTCGAAGTGAACAGGCATAAATGGCATAGAATGTTCGTATACGGGACCACGATGGAACAATCAATACCACACAAGCCTAATGGTGGCGATGAAGACAAATTCATACGTTAAAATTCAAGACAGCTAAGCCGCCAAGCGTTTTACTGGAAGGACCTCTCGATCACGGTGTTGAACTCCCGCTCTGCATCTTGGGCATTCTTCAGCGCGTCACACCGTGCGTCGCCCATCCATTTTGCCGCCTTCTCCTCGGTGACACCTGCCACAAGTAAGGTCTGGAGGTTCAAAGACTCGATCAACGCCGTTATGTTCCAAAAGTAGCTGCTGAGAGGCTTGACCAGAGCGCGCATCTCCATCTCCTCTCTGTCCTCCGCGGGAATGGTGACAATAACCGGGTCAAAGTCTCCTACGTTCTCAAGTGTCGGGAAATTCTTCATCCAATTCATGTTGAGTTCGACAAGGTTCCGAAAATCAGATACGAATGCTGCCCCATCTCGCGCGATATCGACTGCCTTCTTCGCCATCTTCTTAGCTAGCTCCGGTTTCTCGGCCATGAGAATGGTGTCGTAGAGCCTGTTGGCCTGAATGCAGTTGTTCATGGCGATGTTGACTTCATCTGTTGCGTCGAGCATCTCGACATCTTCTTCGTCCAGCTGGACTGAAAAGTGTCGCAGGTGCCCACAGGGCTGTTCGTCGCATGCTTTGCACGGCCCGAGCTGGGGAGAGACCATCTCTGAGACGACGGGTTCCGGTGTAGATTCTCCTGGTATGACGAGGTTCGGTACACTGCCCTGGGATTCGCTGTCCTTACCAGAGGAAATATCGTGAGAAACCACTTCGACCGACTGCGTTGGTGGCTGGGTGGACATCGGAGTCGAGTCGGATGGCTGAGGCTCGCGAGCATGCGACCGAGTGTTGTGTATCTTGGTCCACTTCAGCGGCCTGTCTGGTATGATGGAAGCTCCCTGGGAGGCCATGGAGCATCCATTCATGGTGAGAGGACGCGAAGTTCTCTTGGCCGGAGGTTCCACGGGATCATCATAAATACTTGGCCTGGGCCGCTGAGGGGCGGTCCTTTTCCTAGAGGCTGACTTGACGGTACTCTCTTGAATCTTTGATACGGATTTAGGGTTGGAGCGTGGACCTTTCTTGATACCACGACTTTGCAGTAATGGCAGTACCGAGGGCTGTGATGGACGGAACGGATCGTGTGCGTTATTGAATATAGCCTTTGTCTTATCTGATGCTAGTGGTTTGTTCTTGCTTCGAGAAGATGAAATCGAGGACGATGACGAAGTTGTCGATGGGCAAGAAGATGAATCAGTTGACGAGTCAGAAGACTCATCATACGATGACCGTGGCTGAGCCGGACTGGCGCCCTGTGTTAACTCAAAGGCGTCGGTATTTCCGCTAATTTCATTGGGCTGGATATTGATTGGCTTGGGATCATATTGTTTGGTGCAGTCCGCTGCGAAAGATTGGAATGGTTCAGGTTCGGATTTGAGGCTTGATGCTTCGTACTTGGAATCTTCAGGTTTGGCATCCTGGTCTGGCATTGGCTCCACGGGACGATGCTAAAAGATTTAGTGTCGAAAATGAAATATTTGGAGATCTTTGCGAATTGTCGGGGAGCAACTCACCGAAAAGGCGACAAAAGCATTTGAGATGTCTGCACACAGCAAGTGCGGTAAGCAGTCTGGCTTTGACTTCAAACGTTGCTCCACCTGTGCGGTGAGCCAATACTGTCCTTCTGCGCCAAGTTCTAGTAGATTCCATGTAAGTGAAACGGGTAGCGAGATACGCACCACTACAGCTGAGGCCAGTGACTCTGTAAAAAGTCTGAAGATAATCGATATATCGGTGATTGTATCCGATTAACGGGATCCATTCGGGGTGATCGCAACCGAGAATGTCGCTGTGAACAACAGCGCCGACTTTTGCGAAGAACGACTGTATTTTCCGGTCTCGAAACACCAGAGGCTTGTTGAAAACGGGCGGCGGTCTTGCTGGGACCACGTTCACTCCCGCCATGATGATAGGGCGATCAAGAGACGATTGTGTAAGAGCCAGGTTGTGTAGCAGCTGAGAGTTCTTCAGGTAAACAACTCATGATGAGGCGTCAAAAACGGCCTGGACATCACACACAATGTCAAAATTCTTCTATAAGTGTATCTTATTGAGGGCTTCGACATCGCAAGCTGTCCATCTTACACGAGCTTCTCGGTGGCTTATTCGGCACTTCGATTGTCTTGATTCCTTGGCATGGCTGGCCAAGATGAAGCCGAGATGTCTGTGCGAAAAAGCGGATGATGCGACTGTTTTGATTGGCCGACTACTGATGAAACATCTCCCTTCCCGGCTCCCGCAATTCGTTTTCCAGCCCCTGACACTCATCTGATCGACTCTTCAACAAACTTTTCAGCCCTACAACTCCTCGTTCTGAGTCCGTCTCTTGGGCACGAACTGTCGCACAACCATGGAATCTAACAAAAGCTCGGTGGATGTGGTGGATGGCACATGGTCTCATCTCAACGGGCTGATTGCGGATGTGCCCTGCTGGACGTGCAGACGTAGGCGCCTGAGATGCGACAACCTCAAGCCGTCATGCGTCAAATGCACCCGGGCGGGGTTGCAGTGTCTGGGGTATGGTCCCAAAAAACCTCTTGTCTGGGTCGAACATGGCCGCCGCCGCAAGATGGCTCACAAACAGACGCCACATCCAGCATCACCAACCCCAGCCCCTTCCGTCAAAATTAGTGACCAAGAATGGCCCAAGGTAAGCCGCTTCTACAGATTTTATTGTATGAATATGACGTTCTCATTATCAAAAGACCCAAAAAAAGCAAGATTCAACACACGAAGACGTACAGCGGGCGCCAGAGGACGATGGTCGGCAACTCGACAGATTGGAGGTTGGCACGCTTCTCAAAAGCCCAGCTGATCCCATGCTCCACCAGTATGGCATCAAGTCCGTCGAGTACATATCGTATTGTGAGTCTAAAATTACGATATGGCTTAACACTGATTACTCATTCATTTTCAGACGAACAACGTTGTTGTATGGAGTGTAGCATCTACGACGAAAAATCTGTAAATCCGTTCAGACGGTTCATGCCAATGGCACTGTCTAACCCACTCGTTCATCATACCATCGTATCCCTCGCGGCACATCATCGAGCACGTTCTGAGATTACGTTGCAATCTCCAGAGAAACATGGCTTGCTGTTTCACAAGGCAATTCTAGACAGCGTCGAGCCCAGTGATACTGCGACATCATTGCAACTCCGCTCCAGGGACTTTGCAGACGCTCTCATGCACAAGCAGCAAGCCATAACGCACATGAGATTGGCATTAACGGGCTCAACCCCTTCGGACGCAGTTATCGTGTCCACACTGCTCCTGATTTGGGTAGAGCTTCTCGAATCTGGGTATCGGTCCTGGAAGTATCATCTTGGTGGCATGCGGGCCTTGCTGGTTTCACGAACAAGCGCTGCCCTAAGAAGTGACGTCGAAGCTAGGGGAGCGGGTTCCACGCTTCATGATGCCACGTTTTGGAATTTCGGTGCTTATTTTGAGGAAATTTATGTCTCGTAAGTCAAGGGCACAGATTGCGCAGACAACAAACTAACCCCGACAGGCTTCAAACATTTGGCTCAACATTGTGTCGCGATAAGCCAGACTTGTCTGAGACCTTCACCGACCCCGGACTTTACACGATCTTGAGACGTGGGGAATTCCGGGGTTGGACGGGATGTCCCGCGGAGCTGTCGCACATTCTCTGTGGCTTTAACTCCCTTCTGTGCCCCTCGAGGGCTGAGAATCACCAAGAAAACTTTGCCATGCGCGCATCGCAACTGTTCCAGCGGCTCGAACAGTTCTCTTGTCGGCAGTGGGCAGTGGACTATCCCGAACCACATTATGTGTCTCAGAGAGAATCTTTGGCGCATGCCTACAAGTGTGCAATTGAGATCTACGGCCGCAGGGCTCTAGCCGGGCAACATTCCAGCGAGCTTTCCCATGTTGCCCATGCCGCAGTTGAGTCTCTGCGATGCATTAGCCCAAGGGATTGCCACTTCAAAGGATGCCAGTGGCCGGCATTTGTCGCAGGTGCCGAGGCAAGGGACCCTTCAGACCGGATGGCGGTCAAACAGATCCTTCTCGACATGCACAAACTAGTCAGGACGCGGAACGTGGAACAGGCCATAATCATGCTCGAGAGAATATGGCGCCAATCGGAACTTCCAAACCCCAAAACATGGATTGAGTACGTGTATGATACAGGCGAAGAGCTACTTCTCGTATGAAAGGAGTACAAGCTGGCATGGTCCCACCTGTGTTCGCGGCTGTGACCGACCACCCGTTTTCTCAAATGGCAAACCCGCCCTGCTGTCGCACCTGCATCAAGATGTCGTACATGAGGTCCTTGGGCAGGGTCCGCATGACCTTCTGCGTCTCGGCCTTATCCATCATCTCGCCATGACGGCAGATCATGCCGACGACCACGTCCTTCATCTTGCGGTCGTCGTCGCCGTCGGAGCACGAGGTGTACACCTTCTCCGCCGCGCGCAAGAATTCCTCCGTGTGCCACTGGCTGTCGGCCTCTGCCTGGAATTTGTCGAATGATAGGGACCGCAGGCCGGCGATTCCGTATTTCCTGGACAGCGCATACACGTTGGCGTGCAGGACGAGACTCTTGGTGCCACTGGATGCGACCGGTTCTATGCCGTTGGTCTTGGTGTTCGTCACGGATGCGGCTGCTGGCTTAGCATCGACGGCGATGTTACCGTTGCGAGTGGCGGGCGGCTTCGACTCGAGTATCGCGCCACCTCCCTCGCTGTGGTTGTCATGACTGAGAGACGCCTCGAGGGCAACTGGAGACGCGAGGGAGTCGCCCTGGGGCTCGGGCGAACCCAAGCCAGCCTTCGCCTGGGCTTTGGCGCGCTTCTTCTGCTTTTTGGTGGTTCGCTGTGGCTGGGGTGGCAGGAAATCATCCAGAGTTTCTCCTGGGTCCTCCGCCTTGATGTCCTTGTCCAGAGGCACGTCGTCTGACTTGATGGATCCGTTGGGACCGTCGTCGTCAGTGGTGTGTCCATTCGCGTGGGCATGGCCGTTGGTCTGAGGCACGTATGTTGAGGGCTCCGAGGGATAGTCCAGCTGGTAGAAGTAGCGAATGACCATCCCGACCGCCTGAGGATCATCGTCGGGAAGATTCAGGCATCCATCAGCGGCCGCCTGCGGAAACAGTGCTACATTAGCATCGAGATGGAATCTCTGTACCGGGACACGGATACCGACCTGGGACTTGGCTTCACGACATTTCTCGGCGAAATAGCTGGATCTTGGGCACACGACCGCCTTGTGAACGTGATACTCATTCTCGCGACTGGCAATAGTGAGATCTGAGAACTCGGGATTGTTGTAAAGACTGTCTTGTGTGAGTCAATTGCGCTTGCGGCTTTTCCGATTCGCCGATGGACTTACTGCTTCAGAGAGCTTCTCAGCTCCTCGACAGCGTCGGTGCTCATGATGATAGGTGTCGAGAGCTATCCTCCAACTCAAGAACGAGACCGTGAGGGTTCTGGATCAACCAAACTTTGACATCGGGGCACAAGGGCAGCTATTTGTGCTTCAGCCATAGCCTCGTCAGCCCTCTACGACACAGCAGTGGCATGACAGCTCCAGCGCAGCTTCGTCCTCGTCGGAGAGTGTCCAGCGCATGCCTCATCTTGCCCACCATCACGCATTTGATCAAAATTCAGGCAAGCCTGGGCCGCGATGAGGCGGTTTGATTACCTCCCCCGAACCAATTGAGGGTGTGCAGACGACCTAGTTTACGCTCAGAAAGTAAGATGGCGCACACACTTCTGCAGGCAGCATGCGACCGCGCGACGCAGCCTCGTCGTGATATGCCCCCTTAACGCCTGGGAGCCTGGTGCCATTGGATTCTTCAGCGCGGGTTGATGCGGACGGCTTCGTCATTGGAGCCCAAACGGCCACACCGTCCGCCCCGGTGGTGTCGGGACCGCGTCGCACGGCATGGTCAACGGCAGCAATGCATTGATACCTGGACAAGCAAACGGCCAGTCAATAAGTCCCGGGCAGCGCCTCGAAGTAGGCTCGGCTCGCTTGGTACCAATGGCAGCGCTGGAGGATGACACCCTCTTCAGCGAAGTGCGGGGAACGGGACGCCCTCCTTGAGTGGCCCGGATGCTGACATGAATTGGGCGTCGTGGTTCGCAAGAGGCAACGAGGAGATGAATTGACTTTGGCGCAATGTAAAGGAGCCCGCGTCATCAGACCTATGGCGGGGCGCGAATTGAGAGAAAGAAAGATGTTGCTGGCAGCTCTGTGGCTTCGGCATCTGCAGGAGAAAGAGATTCGATGAGCTCGAATTCAGAATGGTGGCGGGGAGGATAAGAGTAAAACAATTATCAATATGATCCATTTCCTCGAATATCTGCACATTCTGTAATGAAGATTGTCGTATTTCGAATTCTGTACTCTAAATCCATGCGAGGTAGAATTTCGGCCGACTTACATTCGTGCACTGGCTCCAAGCCGATGCGCCTCCCGAGTGGCGGGAGAGCCGAAGCGGGGCCATGATCACCGATCCGATGCCGGTTACCGCCGGAGTCTTCGCCATGCTATTTGACCGAGGCTGCCCAACGTGTCATCCGTCGGCAGATCACTCGGTGTACGCTGGTCCTGAAGAAAAGCGGTGCAGTATTGTTCTCTGCGAGAAAAAGAAGGCCTAACTAACCACTTGCTCGCACACCGGTTGAAGAACATCGCCTCCCACATCAGGCTTGGAAAGAGCATGACGTGAGGATTGGCCGCGTCAAAAGTCGGTGCATCATCACGATCTTTTGTCAATAATAGCAAGTAGAAGTCTCCAACTCAGCTGTTAATGTCATTTAAGACACATACACGAGATTCCTGCCCACAACAATCATGGGTCATCGTGTCAACCTGCTATTTTGCATCTGTCTCTCCGTGATCTTGGTTGCATCAGCTGCGAGACTGCCCAACTATGGCGTTTGGAAAGGGACAGCGACGTTTTTCTCTGCGCCTCGGAGCCCTTCAGGACGAACGGCACTTTTGACCATTCGAGATGGCAAGACCTACCACACTAGTCCCGTTCCTACACCCCCACCAAACATCAATATACTCGCAACTCTCAGCATGGAAGCACCAGAGATTTACGATACTCGTATCGTGTATTGGATAGATCGCAACTTCACGGCTTCTCTCGTGTCAGACAGCTTCCTCTTGGCGAATCTGAAGCCCGGATACCACAATATTCCATCAACTGAGGAGGACCCTCACAGTGTCCCAGGACTTGACATGGTGGCAGATGGGCATATTGACATGAGAAAGGGCGTATTCGGAATACACAACGCTCCAGGACATTTTACAGATGTTAAAGACGTGATGAAGTCCTTTTTTGACCCGGCTATCGAGGCGCAGGCAGATATTTGGGTCTGGGGCCAACGAGGAGAAAATGGAAAAGGATTTGTTATGCATCATGTCCAAATGAATCAAGGGCATTCGGGAACACTCGCCGAAGAGAATGGACGAGGCCAAGACGGCGGTGTCATAGTCAGGTACTACGACCACTGGGAGGCGCTGTTCATCGCGTTTCCTCAGCAGGCGGCCATCACGGATGAAGCGGGAGAGCCCGTTGGCGATGTCTTGGCTAATATCGTTGGTCGTGGGTAGCGAGGCAAGGTGTGTTCAGTGAGGGGGGTTGCTCATCAACAGCATGGTATAAACACGCAATAAGTAGGCCGGGATCTGTTGCGAAAATTGGTTCATGTTGGTCGAGAGCTGATGAAACTAAAGCAAAGTTTCTCGCGTGCTATGAGCGCCAATCAATAGTGAAAACGTTTCGGTTCACAAACGGTTATAGCAAGTGCGCCCCGTCATAAGAAGTCGTGAGAATAGAATGCCTACACCGCGAAGCCTAAGCGTGGGCCAGCTACATGCCAGCCTTCAAGATCTCGAAGGCATCCTCGCGATTGCCCCTAAACCGCTCCTCGGCAGCCGTCCAGTTGATGATCTTCCACACGTTATCGACGTACGATGCTTTGCCGTTCTGGTACTTTAGAAATCGTCAGCCAAACCTCGTCGAACATATTAAGGTAGCCAGACGTACTTGTAGATAGTATGCGTGTTCCCACATGTCGATACCAATAATGGGCACCTCCCCGCCAACGACAGGGTCTTGGTCTTTGGTCGTGACGATGCGAAGTCCACCGTCCCTTCCAGGAGCCTTAACCAGCCATCCCCATCCAGAGCCCTGAATACCCATCAAGGTCGAGGAGAACACAGTTCTCAGGCCAGCCAGGCTGCCAAACGTGGACTTGATCTGTTCCATGAGCGATGGAGCGGAGCCCTTGGGGTCCGAGGCGTCTTTGCTGTCTGCAGGGGCGAGGGTCTTCCAGAAGAGCGAGTGGTTGATGTGGCCTCCGCCGTTGAACTTGATCATGTTTTGCAGGGCAATTTGATCGGGTATGTTGGCCTCAGCCACGGCTTTGGAGTAGTTGCCCAAGGCAGCATTGAGGTTCGTGACGTAGGCCTGGTGGTGCTTATCATGGTGCAGTGTCATGATTTCCGCCGAAATGTGCGGTTCGAGAGCCTTTGTGTAATGTCAGACTGTAATGTTGCGTTGTCATTGGGTGACTTACATTGTAATCGTAGGGGAGGGGAGGCAGTGTATACGTCTGGACAGCCATCTTGGGCGGGTCGTCCTGGATCAGTGAGCGACGATGTTACAGCAGCGATTACATGCGGCATCAAAGCCCGCGAACGACGACGGGGACGCTGAACAAACAGCACAGGGCACGACGTGTCTGGATGAAGGAATCGACGCTGGGGAAAACCCACCATCTGCGCATACTGGACCTGTTGGGGGAACTCGCTGGGCATATAGGAAGCCGCGCCCGATGAAGGGGTGGCTAGGACTGATGAGACGCTAGTCATGGCTCCCTTGTGATAATTGCGCGAAAGCCAATCGACGAGGGCAGAAGACCGCCGTATGGCTACCTGATGAGGCTAGAGGGGGGATCTGAAAGACGAGTAGCCGTTGACAGGGAAGACGCAGTGAACGACAAGCAGCGACAGCGGTTGCCGAGGGGGTGGATCGCCTGCCGAGACGTGTCAAAGGTCAGTGACGCGAACCATGACCAGGTTGACATGCGCTTTATGCTTTGGGGCGGGACGTCGAAGCCGAGATAACGGCTTGGGTCCTTACCTTGCTTGGGGAGTTCTTGCGTTGAGAGGGGATGCCGTTTGGCTTGACGGGGAGAGAAAGTGAGAGCAACGGCGAGCAGATGAGACGGTGAGGGCGGGCCAATTAGTTTCCAGTCGGGCCGTCGCGCAAGGCAAGGTTCATGTTCTTACGGACAGAGTTGAAGCAATGGAAACAAACTAATTAAGGTACAAAATGCACGGCTCGATGGCCACGTTGCGGTTTCTCCTCGCAGGGCGTCGATCGCCGCGTCCGGGGTCTTGGGGGCCGCTAAAGCCGAAGGCCTGGAGCTTAATAATGTAAGATGCCCCTGAAGAGCACTACACTGGACTCACAGCCTGGGGCATTTATGCTTATGTACCTTACTTCAACTATGCTTCTTACTATACCTATTCGAGCCATCAACCAAACACAATGTCAGAGTTGCATGGACTTTGACTTTGTTCTTTCTCGCAGCTTTTCTCTCATTCGGCCTTGGGCTCACGAACCCAAATCTCGTCAATGGGGTCTCCTCTGCCCCGAACACACTTCCATTTGCCCATGCCGTACTCCTTGGGCGCAACTCGGCACCCTCTGCCACCGCCTCCCACTATTAGGTTTCCGGGACGGTATTTGGGATCCCTCTCCATCCTGCGAATGACACTTCCGTGGACCCTCACCTTATCCGGCACATCACGCACCTCACCCCTGGGTAGAGGCCAGCGGATGGGCTTCCAACTCCCATCAGGTCTCAGGTCCAGCCGACGGAAAGGGAGATGTTCCATCACACGCCACATGAAGACGGTCGCAGGGTGCATCCCGCAGTTGAAGTCCAGAGAGTCGTGGATATCCGCCTCGTGAGCCGTATTAATCATCTTGCCGAACAGACTTGTTGTCTCGGCATGGGTCATCCCGTCGGCCTCTTCGTCGGCCTGCACTGTGGCTGATCCGCTCGGAGACGCGCTCGGAGACCCGACCGGAGATGGAGCGTCCACATGGATCTCGGGGACTGTTGACGGAGCACGTGACCTTTCAGGGGTCTCGTCTCCCCAGGGGACGGGATTGAAGCCAGGTCCAGCGACTGATTCAACACATCCCAGGTTCTCGAGCTGGTCGATATCAAAGGTCAATCCTGCACGGATGGCTTCGCGCACCATCCAGACCAACGGGATGTGGCTGGCATTCTTGCTGCCGGCCTTTACATCCCATCCTCCGCCAATGTCGCCGTGGCCCCCAGCAAACCACACCTCGTCGACGCTCTGCTCCTTTTCGTCGTCCGAGTCGAAACCCAGATCCTCCATCGGAGGTTTGGAGTGGATTGATGAAGCATCATGTTCTGTACCGCCCGGGTATGACCGGTTCGTAGTCCTCGACTTGGACCTGGAACGGGAACGGAAAGGTGCAGGATGGTCTGCGTCTTCCCCCTGTGCGCGGGACTGGCGTCGACCTCGGTCTTCCGCAGCGACAATGTCGTCTGGCGCGAGGGTTGATCTTCTGCCAGGCCTGTACTTCTCCTGCAACTCCTGCATCTTTTCATTCATGGGATGGTGTTCCATCATCCGTTTAGCAGCACTCTTCTTCCGGCACCTGTTGGGCTCCTGGTAGATGAGGTCCTGCCGGAACTTGGCACGCCGCTCGTCGATGCTCACGGCGTGCCTGATGACCTTTGCCGAGCTACGAGCGGTGTAAGGGAACTTACTCCGCTGCATCCATGCCGTCTCGAATCGGGGCACGCTGTTCACTGTGTCGAAGAGTCCGAGAAACCGGATCCTCCGGATTGGTCTCGAAAACGTCTCGCGGAACCCCTTGAGGAACTGGTACATCTTCTCGCGATCTTCCTTGCCCTGGGGCGTGGAGTTTGACCTGCGGGCCTGCCACTGGGAGAAAGAGTTCCACGCAAACGACACCATCTCCTCATTTCCGTGGGCAAGCAGGCCGACAAAGTCCAGCATCTCTGCGAGGAACCTAGCCACGTAGGCGCCTCGTGAGAAGCCGAACATGTAGATATCATCACCTGGTGAGTAATATCGCATCAGAAAGCGATAGCCGCCCACGACATGCTGGTCGAAGGATGATCCCACCGCGGAATCTTTGGCCATCTGGTAGTATGACTTGCACTTGGCCCGCAGGCCGTTGCGCGTCAAGTTGTCGGAGACAACATACGTTCCGATGCCAGCTGTGACAACGTCAACAGTCGCACGTCGACGTTTACTCGGGACGACTTACGTTGGTAATAGTGAACTATCGCTCGGGTTAGCTAGCTAGCAGAAAAGAAAGGCCGGCTAAGTGCAGAGGACGGAGACTCACATTGATCGTTTGCATTGCTGTCTAGCATGCGAAAGATTTTCAGGATATTGCTGTCGCTATCGTCCCCCCGGAACTTGTTTCCGGTTCCGTCAAAGCAAAGAATCAGCTTCCGTCGGGGACCGCACACCTGCCCGGTCCGGAATGCGCCGTTGTCGAACGGGCTGACATCCCTTGACTCTCTGATAGCCGACTGGCCGTTCTGGGCGTGAGGATGCTTGAGAATATGAGGATGCATCGTTGACACTGATGTTCGTACGTGAAGGTCGTCTTCTTTTCTCAGCTCTTAACACTCATAGAGTGCCAAGTAGCTACTTCTTCGTGCGCGGGCGTGGGCACTTTTCCCTTATACGGGTGGTTACGTTTCGCGATCTTTCGGCACCCCGTCGCATTCCATATGTTTCTCAAGGGGGCACGGCGGTCTGGCAAGTCCTGGTAGTCGGTGACAGGTGATATGCAACCGGTCAGATTCGGACTGATGTGCGTCACCAAACGGCATTCCTATAGACGCTCGTCTTTTGCATGGGCCAGTCGTTGATCATCAGCGGCGCCGACTTTCCGCTCGTGTCTCACACCATCTGCAATGCATTTCTAACCCAATGTCGTGAAATAATGCCAGAATTGAATCAGCAAGATCGTCGGCCTCGGTCAAGACCGTGAGCTTCACTGCACCGGCGGAGCCACCGCGACTCACACCGTCCATGAGTAAAACATCTTTGTGAAACAGATCTACACCTAACAGTCACTAGTAGGAGCACTGGAACTGCAAACCCCTCTTTCTAGCAAACTAAGTCATCTGTGGTATGAATGTTTTCGGACAAGAGCATCCTCAGCTTTGAGCCTAGAGACTAGGGAAAGAGACATGTCTCATGCCCAATCTCGAAAGATGCCCCTTATTAAGGAATGGACTTGGCGCAAACCGCTCGTTTGGGCAGTCGCCCAAATCCGCTCGACCACTAGCTCCTGAGAAGCCGAGAAATACATCGTAGATGTGCGAGAGACTACTGGCATTCGGAATGTAATACAATAGTAGATCACTGTGAGACATGCGACAGAGCTAACAATGCCACCAATCACCAACTGCCACGGAGTGACATCATCGATGGCTGGAGGCTTGTCTTGCAACTCTTGATGCCCATTCGGGAGCGTTTTCACCGTCGAGAGATATGACCCGCAATGTGCCAAGTCCTGTCGGAACGGGTCGATCTCATCAAGGCTAGGGCGCGGGGATCTGCAAGCCGGTTGGCTGGCTCGACGGTTACACCAGATTCTTATCTGTCTTTCTGGGATTGCGAAAACATCTTCACATGAAGGGGGGGGGGGGCTTGGCCTCAAGCGTGTAAGCGGATCCAACCCATTGGGCAGCGCAATCAAGACTGATTCCCATCGCACAACATACACGAGCCGTGAAATGCATGTCTTGGAGCGATGCTGTTGATCAGGAATGCCGGCGCTCAGCCGTGTTGCAGATGATTTTTTCCCAAGAGGGCCGACGGCAGCTCGCATTGCGTGTGTCTCTGCCGTGAAAGTAAGTTCGGCAGTACGGCCGCATCCAACGGTCAGAAATGATTCGTCAACGGCATCCCGGCGGTTGCATCGCGGGCAGAAACCGCAAATTTTGAGCAACCTCGAAAGGAAGCATGGATCAGCAGATGGGTTGAGCGATGATCTTTCTCTAGTGCTCCCGAGAGGGATCACCACCGATGGTTGCAGGGGCACATCCGGCCGACATGCCATCCGCGGTGGGGTCTAGTCCCAGACAACATCTAAGACAGTCGAGCGCTATCGTCGCGGTCTCACCCGTTGGTATTCGTGAGTGTTTTCACGTGCCTCAGCATGAAGTGGTACCAACTGAGAGAGACGGCCTGAAACCCAATGGCAATGGAAGTCACCTCATTTGCGGCCGAGATGCTGTGTCCCTGATAAGAGTGCGAGAATACCCAGACGTAGTGAGGGCTTGCTCGCCTCGCGACTCTTTCCAACGGACGAAGGTAAAGGATCAACAACACATACACCAATAACTTGCCCGTCATGAAGCGAGGGAGCCATTCGAGCGGCGTGGCAGAGCATGAGCATGTCGAGCTGCATTCCGCTAGACACGACCATGACGTTCGCCCTCACGCGAGAAGCGTGGACAGTCCTAGCAAAGGCGATCCAACTTATGGCAAGCATGATGTCAAGTTGAGTGGTCTCCGCAAGGCT